TGGCTAAACCATAAGGGCGAATTCATAATTTGAACAACTCTCCAAGTAATAAATGAACCATGATGACTATGTAATTACTAGGGCCAGTCTAGTGGTTTTGAGAGGACTTTTAGAGTCTATCTATTGTGAGGTTCAGAATTTGATGTGCACAATCAAGGCTGGAAGGGTACGAGAAGGGATAGAATGATTAAAAAAAAATCATTGGGTCATGTTGGGGTGTAGATTGGTGTATTTGTTACATAAGATATAGAAATAGTTTTCTTTCTTCTAAGGGTCATGATGAGACGTGTATTTAGTTAATTATAGGACCAATATTTTGTCGCATCCAAATTGGGAGGAAACAGGAATAGGGTTAAAAGTGATTAGGCCTATCATTGGGTCAGATCCGGATCGGAATTGAATATTTCGTATCTAGTCTCTCTTAACTATACTTGTACTAGATTTAACCCAAATACCCGACGAGTTTTGAACTTATTCTCTGGGATCTAGATCCGATCAGGTTCAGATACAAGTCAAGTATGCCTGACAAAAAATCTTAGGCAAAGAAATGAAGAAAATGTCTTTCTAAAAAAAAATATTAATTACACACCACAAATCCCAATTAAACATCACAAATTACTTTAGATAATTATTCTAAGGCCTACAAATTACAACTCCTAGAAGATCCAAACAAATATTAAATACCCAAACATATGGTCAAAACAATTACTTATTCAAACATATTCGGTTCGAACCGGGTCAAAATTCAATATTCCGTAACCAACCCATTTTCAGATTAGTATAAAGGGTCTGGATCAAGTTCGAGTCAATAGAATTATAACTATATCCGTATCCAAAAATATTGAGCGGGTTCGAGTTGGTTCCTGAAAACCTGGTCCGTTGACAGTTCCTAAAGGTAACTACGGGGAGTGTCAGTTGGGATCAAGGAGAGGGGAGAAGAAATGAGTGGCAAGGGACAGCAAACAGGGTGGCCAGTTAGGGTGTGGAGGGGAGGGGTTGCTGCTAGCTTGATGTTGGTGGAAGAAAGGGAAACGTGATTTGAACTCTAGGCAGGGTCAAGGAGGGGAAAGGAAAGAAAGTGACGGCAGGCAATGGTTGGCCGGAAGAGGAAGGGTGTCAATGCTTAAGAACTACGCAAAAAACTGAAAAAACACTCCAAAAAAAATACTATATAAAGTTATATTTAGCTAATAAAGCCTATGGTAAAATATTTTAGAAACACTTAATCCAAGCACAGCCTGAAATTTTATATTCTCTACTGCACCCCTTAATTTTCTTGAGTTTTGTTCATACTCTACATTGCGCCTTAGAGAACTAAATCCCTGTTTCCTTTTAACTAATCTTTTACCTTTATTCTGTTAAAAATTTATAACGTCACTACATCAATAAGTAAAATCTGAATAAACTTTAACTTTAGTGAACTAAAAATTGTTAGACCCAATCAAGTAACCATGTTGATTAGAGAAAAAGTGCTTTAGCTCGTTTAAACAATTCGGCTAGTCAAAATTTTATTTTTACACTCTGCCATTACCTAATTATACCCAGTGGCGGAGCCAGAAAAAATTCTTAGTGGGGGTAAAAGCAATACTAAAATTTTTTATCTACATTTTTTCTAGTTTTTTAACAAAAAAAAAATCACCAACAAGTACAAATGATGCATATATTCCATGAAAAACATAAAAAGACAAATTCAAAATTATTAATATAATAATAATTTTATTTCAAAAAAAAAACTAAACTATTTAAAATTGTTTACTGCGAGTTTTTATATTTTGATAACTAACTTGGTCGTGGAAGTAAGAATGGCTCTCGATTGTGGAGGAAAAATGGGGGATTAGTGGAGGGAAGGGAAATTGGAAAGTGGGGACAAAGGAAGTGAATGATATGATTAGGTGAATTGATCAAGAAAAAGGGTAACTAGCTGCTTGGTTGTGGAAGGTATTGGCTCTCGGTTGTGAGGAAAAAATAGGGGACCAGAGGAGGGAAGGGAAATTGGAAAATGGGGACAAAGGAAGTGAATGATATGATTAGATGAATTGATCAAGAAAAAGAGTAGCTAGCTGCTTGGTTGTGGAAGGTATTGACTCTCGGTTGTGAGGAAAAAATAGGGGACCAGAGGAGGGAAGGGAAATTGGAGAGTGGAGCCCAAAGAAAGTGAATGATATGATTAGTACTTGCTAGTTGAAATGAAAAAGCTTTTTTTAGATTATTTCAAATGGAATGTGTCCCACGTATCTTTTTAGAATTTTAGTTTATAAACTAACTTAAAAAATCACGTAATTCTTTCACATCCTTTCTAAGAAAATTCTGGAGGCACACTTAAAATTATATTAAAATTGTATAAGTATTATAGGAATTTAAGGGGATTAGTAGGGCCCGTGCCCCAGTGCCCCCACCTTAATTCCACCCCTGGTTATACGCATTAAGTGTTTGAAACTTCAACCACTTGGACATATTTGACATGGACAAGTATTATTGCATGGATAAAGGAACGGGTGACTACAGCACAATAGAGTATAAATAAATATAATAAATGTAAACAGTAATATGGTAAATGTGGACACTAATATAATAAGATTAAAAATTACAACAAATTTTTAGACTCAAATTTTAACGAGAGAGAAAATCTATTGTGCTTTTACCTATTTTTGTATTAATATTTACATCTATTATTTAATGTCTACATTTATTTTTAGAGTAACTTTTATATACATTGTCAGTGCATGCACTGTTACAGTTAGATGAATGACACAGGAATAAATTTTGCACATATGTCATTTAATGATGATAGTGCATATACTGATAGTGTGTATAAAATTAATCCTTATTTTTATAGTGTCTACATTGCACTCTTCTGCCATTACTAATTTTTATTGTGTCTACATTCATTTTTGTACTGCATATGACAATATACACCCCTAATCCTTATTGCATGATACAATAATTAATGGTTTCTATCATCATGGTTTACTAAGAACACAAAATAACTACACTAATTAAATAAAAGTTGGGCGGATTCACTATGAAAAATTCACAATTTCCGTTTACTTCCCACGAGTAAATAAAATTTACTCTTTTGTAACGACGGTGACATCGAACCACTTCTTATGACAAAGATCCTCTGTCACAGGGGAACATAATATAGCAACCTATGGACTATTCTTAAGATGAAAACGACTGGCATGTAGTAATATAGTCCAAAGATTACTATTAGTTGAAACTTTTCAAGGTAATTAATTAACTATTCCACAGTCTTTGACGATCGACTTAAGAACTAAATATCTATTTTGACACCCATGGAGAAAAATAAACTTCTGTGCCGATCGTCTAGCTAAAATGAGTCTCAACGTGCCAAACCGGTGTTCCAAAGTTCAGGGGAACCACTAGCATCTCTTAAACGATTAATTTTTTATGTACTGACAGTGGAGTGAATATTTTATACTAATAGTTTTAAATATATGCCATATGTACATAATTTAAATTTCAAATTTGAATTCATATATGTAATAGAATCTAAATATGTTAGTGTAAAGAAAAAATTATACACTGGCAGTATATAAAAAAGTTATCCTCTCTCAAATCTCTTCTTGTTTTAGATGTTATTTGTGTTGCGATGCCTGGTTTCGTTCCAATGTAACAAGTCAGTCCATAGGATCCAAAAAAGCAAAAAAGAAAGAGGAAATAACATCTATTTCTGAAAATAACAAGCCAATAATCATATGGAAATAGTATGAGCTATAAAATATATATTAGCCTGTAAAATAAGAAGATGTGTGAGGATCCATAAGGTCCCTATAAGCAAAGCATATTATTTCGATTGCGTAATCACAAACACAATTTCTAATCAACTTTTTATATTTTTAATCACATTTTTATTTCATATATATCACATTCCAAAAAAGTACTACAGTATTTATTTCAAATAATATTTGAAGTAATCTCCTATCCATACACACTTCTTAATTAATTCTTTGAAAAAATTTCAAGAAAAAAAATTGCTGCTTTTGACTCCCATGAATTATTCTTCGAAATAATTAATATAGTTAAGACTGGGACAGCTTTCCATATTAAATGGGTCCAAAAGTAACTAGTATATCTTTTCTTTGAATAAATTGTAAACTCAGATTTGCCCAATGCATGGCAAATACAGGTCAAGAGAAAAAGTTGATATGAATATGCAGAGACATCGTACTCCGCAACTAAGGATGTCACCAACAAAGGATTCTTGCACTTCTTGATGTCTTTGACGTCCCAAAAATTAAATAGAGTGGGAAAAATTTTATCTTCTTCAAAGGCAACTTTATCTTTGACAATACATTTAGATGCAATTTTAGCATTATAAAAATTTGAAAAATGTTATTTGTACTCCATTGTTTGTTATTTGCAGTCTCATTATTTATTTTATTATATGAATTAATATATGAAAAATATATAATTAAAATGATAGTGAAAGCATGATTAACAAAAATAGAAGTGCAAATAACGTTTTCCTAGAAATTGTTGGTAAGGAAACTCTTGTTATACATATCAATTGTCTGTACGTTCCACTTTCTTCTTAAATCAATGGTTAAGAACTCTTATTACCCACGTCAAAACCATATATAGTTCTATTGTTACATATTCCATTCCTCTTTCTGGGCTCTTCTTTCCATTTCCTACCCAAGTTTAGAAAGAAAACAAAGAGTAGTAGTGTGAGATTTTTCTTTATATTACAAGATTGTGCTGCCATTTTCCAGTGGACTTTCATAGTTCAATCTGCATGGAATAATTAAATCTTGTATAGATACGGAAGAAAATGGCATTGCATTGCTTTAGTTGTAGTAATGATATTACAATTAATCACGAGAACATATTCATTTTACTGGTACACTTTTTGCAGCTCAAGCAGAAAACAAAGAAAAGAAAAAAGGACAAAAAAGTAGCACTCATTTAAGTTTTGACAGCAGAATGTGGGTTGAAACTTTGAATCTGCATGGATGGGTTTACAAGCAGCAGCATCTCTACTGTCCACCACCTTCTCCACCGCTGCCGGAACCACTACCAACACCAACGCCCTTGCCAGCACCAGCACCAGCCCCTACGCCAATGCCTACTCCAACCCCAACACCAATTCCACCTCCATGGCCACCTCCTAAACCACCACCTGCACCGCCTCCAGCTCCACCTCCTACACCTCCACCAGCTCCAAAACCACCACCATGGCCTGATCCTCCCCCTATTCCTCCACCACCACCACCACCACCTCCAAATCCTCCACCACCTCCAACTCCTCCACCTGCCCCACCTCCAACACCTCCTCCGGCACCGAATCCACCACCGTGGCCAGAACCACCTCCAATGCCACCACCGCCTCCACCTCCACCTCCACCTCCTCCTCCGCCGCCACCTCCACCTGCTCCTCCTCCAATGCCACCCCCTACTCCACCTCCTGCTCCAAACCCTCCTCCATGCCCAGAGCCACCACCAATGCCACCTCCTCCACCGCCACCACCTCCTCCTCCAGCACCTCCACCAAGTCCTCCAGCACCACCACCTACACCTCCACCAGCTCCAAACCCACCTCCATGACCTGAACCACCTCCAAGGCCACCGCCTCCACCACTACCCCCTCCTCCTCCTCCACCAGCACCACCACCAAGTCCTCCACCACCACCTACACCACCTCCAGCTCCAAATCCGCCACCATGACCTGAACCTCCTCCAACACCACCACCTCCACCTCCTCCAAACCCTCCTCCTCCACCTACACCACCTCCTGCACCTCCACCAACACCACCTCCTGCTCCAAACCCTCCACCTTTACCTGCACCACCCCCAACTCCTCCACCACCAAAACCGCCACCTCCACCTACTCCACCTCCACCACCAAGACCTCCTCCAGCTCCTCCACCAAATCCTCCACCACCTCCACGTCCACCTCCAAATCCAGGACCTCTTCCTCCTGGTCTTCCAAATCCACCACGTCCACCACCAAAACAACCTCTCCTTCCAAATCCACAATCATTATCTCCCCACGTCTCTTTTTCTATCTTGCTATCTCCAAAAGCAACTACATTCAATTCTAACACCACACTCAAGATAAGAAGAAGCACGCAAAACCATTTTTGAGAAGAACCCATAATGCTTACAAGAATTCAAACTTTCAAACTTGCTTTGCTCTACTGGCCTTTAGACATGGGTATATATAGAGGCTTAATTCCTTAAAGGTACTACCAAAAGTAGTAAGTTGGCAATAGGGTTTTCAATTCTCGCTACGTAATTAATGCATGCACTGTTGCATGGCTTGTACGACGCGTTCGAGTTGTTGGGAAGATAAGAGAAATTGAGGCGGGAACATTAAATGAAGAGATATTCAAAGTCAAATCCAATGGATCGCTTGTGCTTGTTTTCAATTCCACCGACAAGGATTTACTAAGTTATTTTACTCCAAATTGACACGCTACGATTAATGCATATGGAAACTATGGTCACTGGGGCCAATCGGCCATAAATTTCTTCTTATGGAAACTACGTTCTTGAAGTAAATGGCCTTCCCCTTTAAACCTTTCTATTTGTTTTTGCAAGTGTATTATTATTATTAGTTTGTATCCTATTAAGTGAAACTAGGTATATCTCGGATGATGGGTTTAATAATTGTTAGAGCAATTGCTGAGGGCAATTAATGATAAAATTCCAGCATTTTGATAATGAACAGTAAAGTTGGAATTTGAAGAAAATTTGATTCTGTAGTAGTTCAATAAATAGATAACTTAAAATAAATTTACTAGAGAAAAGGGTACACAGAAAAAGAAAAAAAAAATCTATGGTAGTCATTTGAAGTTATGTTAAGTTCATCAATAGAGCGTGTTTTGTTGGAAAGTATTGGTTATTTGCTGCAATTAGTAAGTTTGACTAGGCATCAAGTGTAAGCGCGTGTGTGTCGCGCGTGTGTGTGTTTTTTTTCTTTTTGGAGAGGTTAGTATCTTTTTACCCTTGTTTTGAGGGTCAAAGAGGAATATTTAAAGTTGCAAGAAAATGTTTAAACCTCTAAAAACTATGTGTAGAGATAGATTTTTTTTTTACAATTTTAATATCTGCATTTATTATTTTAAAATTACTATTTTATGATCTATATTGTCTAATGCAATATGCATTTGGCACTGACAATTGTTGAGGTCAAATATTAAAACAAGAGTAAATACTGACAGTGTATACACTATACCGTTAGATTCATGATATGTATACAAAAGTTGAATTTCAAATTCAAAATTTGTATAGTTGTCATTCATCTAATGCTGAAGCGTAGAAAAGATTCATTATTAAAACAATACCAAGCCAATTATTAGGATGGAAGGATTACCAGCTACTTAAATGTAGCCATTATACTGTCAATAAAAAAAATGTAGCCATTGTCAAATACTGTCGAATAATTAGACTTTAACGTACATTGGTCAAGTTTAAATTTCTTTGAAATAAATATCCATTAATGTACGTTTGACTAGATCAAATTTCAATGTCAACGACCACGGAAAATCTCCATACTGGCGATCTGATCGCCGTTATGGGAAAAAAAGCGGCGGATCAACTGTTCACATGGTTGTATACAGTTAGGGTGGTCAACCGTTGACGCCTTATCCTGGTGCATTTGCACTTTTTAATTGAAAATAATACTAACAAATAATGCTAATTAGTCTATACCAATTTAGGAATAGAAAAAGAAAAAGAAAAAGAAAAAGCCTAAGATGCATCGCCCAGTTAGTTTTTATATGAGTGCATCTGTATTTACTTTGAAGTATATGGTTTTTGAAAGTATTCTTTTCCAAGCTCAAGACTCATGGTTTTTTTTTTTTTTTTGCATGAGAAAAGAGAAATAAAGGTTTGGTATTACTCGGGCAAGTCAGTTTGATTTCCTTTTTTGACTTAATTTTTCCTACCATTATCTTCCAACCATGTTCTGAAATAGTCTGTTTTATGTTCCAATGTCCGCCGTTGGTATCTATATTTTAGCCATGAAGGTAGAACCCAAAAGAACTTCACTGATGAAAAGGTAAATATTAGGGCGATTCTGGTAGCTTAAATGCCTTTAGGGTGCAACAAGATTTGAGGGGAAAGATAATTGGATTTAAGCTATGACAAGAATTGTGAGATTGTTTGTAGTATTGCTACGGCAAAAATGGCCCCTGGATTTGGCTTGGCTTAAAATGTTGTAGAATAACTATCGACATAATTAGACCAAATTTCTGAAAGTTAATAGTATTTTCTATTCTGATTTGTGAAGTTTTTGCTCTAATATAATTTCTGGTAATTTAACTATTTAGGAAATTAAGCTGTTATTTGGTAGTTTATTTCCTGCTTATTTCTTATTTTCAAATTTTTGTTATTGTATTTAGTTACGAAGAGCGCGAGGCAAAAGAGAGACTAGTGAAAGTTTGAGTATTAATTGTAAAGGCAATTTTGTTTAGAATTCAGGCGAGCTTAATATGAAACTTAGATGTGTTTTATAAACGTTAGATTAATACGTAGTTTTATATGTACTAAAAAACCTTTTCTTCATTTATAACAACAACTGAGCCACCGGAGGCTGTAATTCATTCAGGGTCTTCCTAATTCTTGTAATCTTATAAGATTCATATATTTCATTCTGCTAAGCATTTGACGTAAAATATGCTTTGCCAATATAGCGAACTCAAATATTTGTGTCAAGGAAATAATGTTTTAGGCTATTTCTTCACTTTAATCGGAATTAGAATTGAAATCATACAACTTTAAAAAAAAAAAAAAATTCTGAACAATTGTCTTTAGCAAAATGTATAGAATTGTCTTTAGTTCAAAAGCCTCGCACATAATAGCAATGCACTTTGTAAAACGAAGGCCATTGTCTAGAAGGAAATTTAGCACTGCTTATTCTCATCAAAACCGAAGGAAACAGCACACAGCAGAGACAAAATCAGCTATCAATGAAATCAGTTTTAACCAAAAGATTGGAATTAATTAATAAGCCTGTTTTGGTATAATTTTGAAGAGCCAAACGAGGTCCAAATGTTTCAGTAAATTCGTATAATTTTGGTTCTTCAGTAAATTTACACATAATAAAAGGTTTCCTTTTGGCAGTAAAATATGTTAGATACCAAATTTACACAATATTTGTCAAATTAGATTCACGGAAATCAGTGAGGTTTTATAGGTCTCGTCACACAAGTGCATAAAATGACGGATGATTGGCACAAAAAGGGAACAAGGAAATCTGGAAGTGTTTAATTGGTAGGGCATGAAAATCATGCAGTAGTTATTTATTTAATAGGACATACGTACTTTTTTTTTTTTCCAAGATTTCCATAATATGCAACTGATTTATGGAAATTAACGAGCTCCACCCCACCATTTATAGGCCAGGGAGGTAATACTTAGACATGGGATTCAAGAAAACAAAGTACAACACTTGAACTAGTCCTGCATGGACATAATTAAAATCCACCACCACTACCACCACCTCCTCCGAATCCTCCACCGCCTCCAACGCCTCCGCCTGCTCCACCTCCTACACCCGCTCCAGCACCAAATCCACCACCATGTCCAAAACCTCCTCCGAGGCCTCCTCCTCCTCCACCACCTCCACCTCCACCACCACCGCCTCCCCCACCACCTCCAATGCCACCTCCTACTCCGCCACCTGCTCCAAAACCTCCCCCATGGCCAGAACCGCCACCGACACCACCTCCTTGGCCGCCGCCTCCTCCACCACCGCCGCCGCTGCCGCCTCCTCCTCCAGCACCTCCACCAATGCCTCCTCCGACACCTCCTCCTGCTCCAAATCCACCACCATGACCTGACCCACCCCCAATGCCACCACCTCCACCACCGCCAAAACCTCCTCCTCCACCAACTCCGCCACCTGCACCTCCGCCAGCACCGCCTCCAGCTCCAAACCCTCCACCTTGTCCAGCACCACCACCAATTCCTCCGACTCCAAATAACCCTCGTCCTTCCCTTCCCCTACCACTACAACCCCTCCTACCAATTCCACAACCATCTTCCTTCAATTCTTTGTTAAGCTTGCCATCACCAAGAGTTGTTACACTCAACTCTAACACAATGCTCAAGAGAAGAAGAAACACAAAGACACATTTTCTCGAAGAAGAACCCATATTGCTAACAAGGTTCACACTTCGCAGTTCAATTTGGTGTGCTCTATTGCACCCCAAGACTTGGCATTTATATAGGCTTCACCTTACTAGCGAAAGTGCCAAGATTGTCAATACACCGTTAATGTAAGCATTAGAAATTCTTACTCAACGCGTCACAGCCGTTGGGGAGATATGGCAGGAGCCATTAATTAATGAAGTGACCATCAAAGTCAATCTCTGATGCATCTTTGCAGCATATTTTCAAATATGTTGACAAAAAAAAAAGGAAAAGTATTACTGAGTCGGTGTTTCTCATGCATTCAAGTTTAAGAATACAACTTCTAGTTTTTTACAGACATAACTTGCATATTACTTTTCAAATTGCGCAAGTTAATTTCAACCCACTTGCCACAAATATTTAGAACTTTGCTTGCACAGCAACCAAATTTGTTAGCCACCTGCATATCTGCTTGAGATGGACTCATGATAAGCCATGACATCAAGTATTTTTACCATGCTACAACGTGCAAGTAGTAATAATTTTTTTTCCCCTTTTCTTGCTCTTGTCCTTGGCGCTGAGATCATTGAGAAGGCAGCAGTCTTTGCATAGAGCCATACATTGCTGATTACAACTCCATTGTTGAACAACGATGCATTACGTGTCTTGTGACGACTAGGGATGGCCAAAATGGCCCGTATTTCTGGTTGAGATTTTTTGACACGATTCCAGTATTTTGTCCAATTTTGGCAACATCTCCAATTATGTATCCAAAATTGTGCTTGCAAAATAATAGGAAGAATGGCCATGACATACAACACTCTTGTTGGTTAAGACATTTTTTTTTTTTTTTTTTTGCTTTTTGGGGGATTTTGACATATGATACTCTAGAGCTATCACTTTGGCATCATTTCTTTTTCAAATGTACTTTTTAATTGAATTACAAACTTTGCAATGGTTGTGCTAATAATTTTTTTCTTTACAAAAGGGAATTTTCGATAACCCTCGGAGTTGTAAT